GACTAAATGGAGGCTGATCTTGTGATTTTCTTTTAACACCAGCAGAGGGGTTACAGAGTTTTCTCTAAAAACTATAGCTGCAACACAGCAGAAATTGACCATAATAAATCCACTGAACCATCAATTCCTGACATCAAAGCCTTATGTTTTCAGGGATTTCCTGTTTGCAAAAAATGTTCTGCATCCTTGTCTTAGTGTAATGTGCATGATGGTTCTATGTTTAGTGTGGGCTACACATAAATATCCCCTGTATTGGTTTCATGTACTGCCTGCTGGTGTGCTGGCTGGGAATGGAAATGGAGAACAGGGATCAATAAAAGCTGAAATTCTCACAGGAACTGCTCTTTTTGTACTTTATTCTTTTCCAATAAAAATATACTGAGGGAAAAAGAAGCAATGAAATCGAGCCATGCCACTAAATCAGTTTTGTCAGCCTGTGAAGCACTTTTTATTTCAGCTATTCAGCACCACTTCCCCCTTTAAACTCATACTATCACACACAATGAAGCACTGCAGAGGTGTTTTAGTATTCCTCTTTATGTTGTTGAATTTGTGTCTTTCTGGGGTTTTTTTATTTGTTTGTTTGTTTCTTTGGCTTGGTCTGTGAGGACACGGCCACATATGTGTGTTTACGTCTGTGCATTTAATGCTAGATAGTATCTCCGTCCCTGAGGTTGTGTTGAGCTGTGACAGACTCTGTGAAATTTGAAAAAAGGTCACTGAACAAACTGCTGTCCTGCCCTATGCTGTGTTCTGTCACATGTGTAACACATATCACCCAGCTTGAGGAAGACCAAACTCTCTTCAGGGCCTTAGATGCATAATTTTAAGTTTGAGCACCCATGCATGTCGGTGCACGTGTGAGAGCAAAAGCACAGGGTTTCCATACGTGATACGTGAGTAAGTCTGAGTTACAGAAGAAAGCGGTAAGCAAAGTTGCTGTGTATATAGTGTGTCACTGGCTCAGAGGTCTCTTTTAAACTCAATTATTCCGATGTGCCTTCCCTCTTAGTTCCAACTCAGTGATACATGCTAATATAAAATTAGTCCCACTTTAATCGTCTGATCTTTATTTGCACATGTTGTTATTACAAATCACAATAAACCAGATCTCCTGCAACCAGATCTCCGAATAAGTTAAGGTTGCGTGATTGCCAAGTCGCAGGGACGTGAGGTCGCGGGTTTTCTCCTGTGTTCTTTCACACAGGTTGTACTGAATCCACTGGCAATGTTTGCATGCACATAGAGTATTAACTATTTAACATTTAATAGTTTTAATTACCACTAAAACACCAAGTGATGAAGTTTGCATTTAACTAAAATCACAATGCACTGCTATTTTGTGTTGTGACCAGCTCTTGGAACTACAAAGGCAAATTTCCGGCAAGCCTCCTGAACTAAAAGTGGTATGGCTCGGGCACTAAGTGATTGAAAGTGTATTCTGCCATTTTCTAGCTCGAGTAGCACCATCCCAGCCGTAAATCATATACTCTGCTTATATGAAGACTCCTCTGTGCTGCCATTATCTGCACCATTATTATCCTCTTAGAATTTTTCCAAGTTCTGTCATTTCAGTCACTTATGTGAGGTGCTCGGTCTCTTACGTAAGCTTAAAATTTCATTTTTGGATGCAGAGATTGCAAATACAGCAGCCCCCACTAGCAAGATACACAAACGGGATAGGTTTTACAGGTATGTAATGCATTTTTCTCACTCGTTCTATCTCACCATCGCACTGGATGTCACACTAAATCTCCAACCAGCAATGACACACTTAGGCAGACGTGTTTACACAGCACCAAAATCCTGGGAAAACAGTGTGTGAGTGAGAAATACTTTTTAAAATGTGAGATACATGAGAAATATTGTTTTCATTTCATACACTACTGAACCAATATAGAGAATACCTCATTAAAATTTCATTGAATCACTTATTTGTTTCCTGATAATGCTTGTTTGCATATTAATTCGAACCTAAAACAGACAACTATAACAGAAACTCTTCCAGATTTGGGCTTTTGGAGATATATAAACAAGCTGTACTATAAACAAAATAATATTATTGTGTGTAATGAGGGTTCAGAAGAAGGACAGAGAACAAAGGAGCAGCACAGTCACCTGATATGTGACCTTAGCTACTCAGGTATGAGGATGCTTTGAAAATCTCTTCTATGCCCTGCTGCTCTGAACTGTTCAGGCTGCCGGTATGGGCAATGCAACATCATATGATGTGATGTGAAGTTGACTTTGCACGTTTCACCACAGTCGAGAACAGCCCTGCAGGCAGCAAAGCATGAAGACGGACCAAAAGGTCTCAGATGTGGAAAGCAGTTTGACCTTGAGCAAATGAAATGAAGGCATTGAGGCTGAAGTCCATTTTATATAAGTGACCAGAGAGGAAGGTTGAACTCTCAATTCATAACCAGCGCTTCGGCTCTCACATCGAGTTTTCTTTTCGTGGTTACAGGAAAATGATCTGTCTTCCACTTCAATAAAGCAGCTTTCATGTCTAAAGGTTACAGAAAGTGTTTATGTTACTCGAGTCCCTTTAAATTAAGCGAACTGAAAAGGCGCTAGCTGACACTTTTGTTGAATCATGTGTGATGTTTTGTGTTCAGCTCAAAGGGAGCAGGGAGACAGTGCCATGTCTGTGTTTAGAAACTGCAGAAGCCAACGAGAGCGTGAGGCGGTACAGTATCGAGAATAAGAGCAAAGGCGCACACTGACACAGAGGAAGGAATAACAATGAATGTCGTGCCGCAGTGTTGTGTGATTCTTCCGTGAACAAAGACGAAGTGCAGCACAGAGGTGTGTGTGTGTGTGTGTGTGTGTGTGTGCGTGCGTGCGTGTGTTAGGGATGATTATCAGAGCACAAGGAGCATGTACTGTATATATCATTTCATTAATTACTGTTCCGTGCTCTAATTATAATGCAGCAGGGACACATTCAACTCTCAGATCTATGCCTTTGCTAAACCTCCATACCATTTCCATTGTCAATCACACACACACACACATAGACACACAAAAATAGAGAGAAAAAAAGCTTGTTTTCCTCCTTTTGAAAATCAGACCTGCTCCCCGCGCTCTCCATACAGCTGTCACTCTTCTCTTTCTTCATCTGTCGTCAGCTTTGAGTTGATTCTTCTTCACTATAATGTCTGGAAAGCAATGCAGAAAAACGGGCAACAGATTTGAAATCTGGGTTTCTCCTGGAGAAGCATCAGAAAGGTGTTTAGGGGACATAGAAGACAGGTTGCAGGTAAATCCGCCTCATGATCATCACAAAACAGGATTGCATCGAGATGCAATATCAGTGATGGAAGTCCAGCTTTAAAGGGGAAACTCTCAAGTGTGCACCCAGTTATGCGCAATTTGTAACTGAAATGGAGCAACAGAGAGTTCTCATAAATACAGAGAAGGATCAGAGTGCACATAAAAATGTTTGTGGACTGAACAGCTTTTGGGTGGACTGCTAAATATGAGAATACCTGACTGTACAAACATTGGAGATAAGTCAGCTGAATGCATAATATAAATCTCAACACGCTGTGTACGGTTTTGGAATGAGGGCCAAAAATACATGCCATTTGCAAATGCCCTGAAACATTGCACAGAAAAGCCTTTTCTCTGTTATTTTTCATTAGCTGTTTAATTTGACTCAGAATTTAGGGAGCTTAAAGATGTTTCATTTATATGCACATAACTTAGAAAACCGCTCGTTGTGCATGTTGCCTAAAAGGAAACAATACCACAAAGGAATCTGACTTTGCCACCACATTGCTATTGTGTACAGAATTGCAATAACTAGCACAGAAATAGAGACGTCAGCATGATTAATTGTGTTCTGCAACTCTTTTAAAAATTTAACCTAGATTTAGATGCTAAATATACCAAATTCAAACATCTCAATGCACAATTTAATTCATTTCTCTAAGCAGTGAAGTGATTTCTTTGGGGGTTCTGATCCATTATTTTTTACGCTGCTACCTCTTTAGCATCAAAGACTGGATCCTGGTGCACTTATTAAAAATGGTTGCAATTCTAGTTTTCACTAGACCCTATTTGGCCAACCCGCCATACCTAAGACCGATTTTGATATTTAATTTAGTTTCAGGGTTTCCACTGTGTTCAAATGCCACGCTAGGGCTCTGCTTTTAAATCATACCTAAGTAAGAATACAGAAGTGCTCATTCTGCAGAAGAATTATAGATGTGACCATAAACACTAAATCTAACGGCAGCTGTATGCTGGATCATCATTCCACCTTCCCTATACAGTCATAAGATTTAGGTACTAAATAAAAAAGCTAAGAAAACTTGTATGGGCACTAAAATTTTCCGTGCAATAAGCTCATTTTAGCACAACAAGGTGAGAAGTTCACCGAAGAGAGGATTAACTCTGAGCCAGACTCCTGCTTTCTCTGTACTGAGGAGTCAGCTGAGGTTTCAGCTCCTATGAAGCAGCCCCGTAGATGCCTCAGTTTTGCCTCAGGTGGAGTTAGGGGGGGAATGGAGGCGAAGAGGACATCTGGTGGATACAGAGTAAATGTGATCCTTCACACAATCTGGAAGATAAAGTCCTTCCTGTACTACTCTGTGGTATCTGTGTGAGCACAAAGACACTGGGTGGTGGGATGGATTAAAAAAAACAAAGTCTCATGGGCACATGTCAATTTTTCTTTCTTCTTTTAAATTGCTGAGAAAATGAATGACGTAGATTTTTTTCAAATAAACTGAAGCATAGACAGACGTACACACCAGGACTGCTACCCGAACACTTGGATACTCCTTATTAAAGACTGGAGAAACAGGATTGTCTGTTTGTCTAATAAAATTAGTCTGACCTTTAAGTTCATGAAAATTTTAATATGCAATGAAAGTATGAGCGACATTACCATGCTCAATACAGCGCTTTAACCACAAAGTAAACCCTTTGGCGCCATCTAGTGACTGAAGGTCGTGAACGCTGCTTTCACAAATACACAAATACACCAGAGAGAAAATACAAAGACTTTATTACTAAAAATCAAAAATGACAATTTCAGTTTCCAGCCATCTGACGAGGTTTTATATTCATCGGCACAGTGGGATTTCACACTGAGCTTAAACACTGCTTTTTCAAGTTTGCCTTTCCCTGCGCAGTGAGCATTGCACTCAAAATGTATTATTTTTGACTTCCTGACACTTTAAACAAATGAAGCTTTGGTGAAAATTCTATTCAATACACTGGGAATCCCTCCTCTTTATACTAATATTTATGCTTTGACCTGCTCAACCACTTCCTCCAGAATGTGCCTCTTGATTCGTTTCTGGTGGCGCTATATGTGAGCTAATCACTCTGCTGTGGCTACTTTTTAATGTATATGCTTCATACACTCTTTTAAGCCTTTGACTATCCAACCTGCATCTCTAAATCTCTTTTATTCCACCGTCTAGACACTCAAGCATCCTTCCTCTTTCTATTTAACCCATTTCTGTATTGTCAGACTTAATAAACATCTTATGCATTCTCTACTTATCTCTGCTTATTGAAGCACAAACCAAGGACAAGATAAACTGGTGGAGCAGTTCAATCAATGTAACATTTGACTCATTCACTCTGTACAATGACGTGAGTCCAGTGTTATTCCTACTTTTCATAATATTTATAATGTAGTGTAATGTACCACACTCATGACTCTGGAACATGGGGGGTAAAATGCACCTGATCTTGGTTGTGTGACATTTTCCTTTTCCAGCATTGGTTAGTGTTAATACAAAATTTGAACATTAACATATTTTCAAGCTAAATTACAAACATATAAACACGTGTGCATACATAAAGTATATAATATGGAAATACATATGCCTTCTGGTGGTACCGAAAGTGTGACTTTGCAATATAGTTAAATCGTTTTATAATGGGTTGTCCGGATACTGATTTCAAAATGGAAACCACTTAAACTCATATCAGCAATAACAAATTGTCAGTGTGCCTGGTTAGTGTGGCTGGTAGGATGCATTTAAGAAAACACAAGGCAGTTATGGAGAGCCATTCACTGTAAAAAGGTGTGAGATACCTTCAACCAGTCACTGGTTTGTGCTGAAATGTTCAAGTGGATGTGTAGTGCAGGTGTGCCACAGGGCAGATCCTGCCAATAAGACACTTTGGTATTATGAGAAACTTTTCCGTTATTAGTTCCACCTAAAACTGCCACTGCCTTATCTGTGCCTGTGTTATATTTCAACCTCGTTCCAGTTTTGACTGTGAAGTCAGTGGAGTATTCGGTGTAGGTATCTCTCTGGTTTGTTCTCCCCTCCTCTTCTCAGTACTGAATTGGATCTGACTGGTTTCTCAGGTGTCATTGCAGGGTCCTGGCTCTCATTTAGTACCACTGAGGACCCTGCTACTCTTCCTGTTCCTACTGAGGTGTGTCTTCGGGGCTCTGGACTGCTCTGTGCTCCTGCCTCAGAATCGCTCTCCTCGCTGGGATCTTTCCCCTGGCTGCTTGGTGAGCTCTCCCCAATCCTGAGAGACAAAAATTCCTTTCAGATTCACGTAACTGAAAGGTTGAGTTTTTTGAATATGTGTTAGGTTAGCAGTGTTTCTACCTGAGGTGGCTGAAGGCTCGCAGCCAGTGTGTGCCCAACACATCCCTTCCATTAGTCCTTAGCCCTTTGTGGTGGCTTCGGGCCCTCAGTCCTATTAAGGCCTTAGCAAGTTCAGCCTCATCTCCGTGGCCCCAAATTAACTGGGCCCTCTGCTCCGCATCCTGGTCCCCTGCTGCCCTGAAGAGCCTCTGGAGCTGCCACAGATTCACATTGCTGAAAATGTTTGCTGACCCAGCCTTTCTGCTCCTCCTCTCAGACAGACGCCACAATGTGGAACGGCCCGCCAACATGGAGGAAGAAGGTGAGGCGGGTCCACTATCCATCCAGAGAAACACAGGCAAAGGTGGCATACACGGGGTCTATGCTGTGGAGAAGGAACCGAGAGTTTCAGCTCTGACATGAAGGGTGCTTAGGTTCTTAAATTCATATTTGATTTAAAAAAAACAACAACAACAACAACAACACAATGGTCATGCGATGTGGAAATCTACAGCTGTCAAAGCACCTGGCAGTCAGCTGTGAGTCTTGAAGTTTGATTCTATAATCCTTCTTTAGGAAGTGAGTGACAGGCTGCACGTCAAAGCCCATTAGACTGCAGATGGTAACCTTGTCTTGCTTTCACATACAGTGAGCTTCAGAGTGGGATACTACCAGATAGATAAGTCATCAAGGTCATGACTGATCATGGGTCAGAGCACTCACTTCAGTGACCTCAATAAAGGTGTACTTACCGCCTTCCTGCACAGCTTTCATCTGTAATCCATCTAATAGAATTACTTGTTTAATCCAGCCTGCATTTGTTCTGTTTAAGTCCAGCATTATTTATGTACATTAATGTCTCAGATGTATCAGCTCCTGGCCAGGAAGGAAATTTCCCACACTCTATGAACCAAGTTTCATTCTGCAAAGGTCCACGTGTGCTTTCCCTGTTACACATTAACTATTTTGTTCTACATGTTTCATAACCGTAGAAGCCTCGGACAGTTTCCTGTGCTCTGTGAGTGTGTGTCATCACAGCCAAATTATAAACAAGAATTCACATTGTAAGCTACTTTGCATGACATCCAAACACTGACGCTGCGGTGTGCGGCTTTAACGCAATGTCGCACATCTACAGAGCTATTTAGCGTTTGCTTTAAAAGTAGGTTACACCAACCCAAACGTCATTGACTTCTCCTTTCATTCCCCTAGCTGCGTTTACTGTTTGCATAACAAACAGCTGCGGATCACTGGTGCAGACAACCTACCGGGTCGCTTTCGAAATGAACGCTACTGGAAAAAGTTCAGCTGATCCTTGAAATAACCTTGTTTTTAAAAAAAATTTAAAAAAGTAAATAAAATAAAGCAACCTGCATGCAGAGAATAAAAAGTAATAGCCCTAATCCGCGTTGTGTTCGCTGCCCTGTGGGCAAAAGGCAGCAAACAAGAATCTCATGAGAGTCATGTGGACAATAAAAAAGCTTCTGCTTACCCGGAGATGACACCGAAATGTTCACTTTTCTTCTATCGCATCTCTCTCTTTCTCTGCTTTGTATTCATCGGTGTGCCTATTCCACTCAAAACTACTCCAGCCGCTGCAGAACCGGGTTTGTCCAGCCTCCGCGATCAGTAAGTGTCCTCGGTCTGGCTGTCAATCACAAACGAATCGAATAAGATCTGAAGTATATTCTACTCCAGCCTGTCTGGGCTTGGTCAACGTTTTCGCTCCACCAATACCCGCTTTAACTGGGTGGACATGTCATTGGTCCCGCCTATTGGCCAAGTAGGGCGTGCGCACTGAAATCCATTGACGTCAATGAGCCTGGCTGGCACGAGAAGCATCTGTCAATTATGCGAGAAAGAAGTAACATGTGATAATCCTACGCCTTACACACGTAAACACAGTGACGCAGGGGGCTCATAAACACTGGTGCTGTACGAACAGACGGTGTATTATCATGGCATGTTAGGGCGGAAAGGCAAAGTGGAGAAAAATGCCACATCTTGATAATAAAGAAGAAAAATAAGCGCTTGCCGATGGTCACCTATTAAACAAGGGCTTGGCACAGCGGGTAGCCTATATTTTGATCTGGCAGATTTTTAGACCGGATGCCCTTCCTGACGCAATCCCAAAGCGATGTGTGTCTCCTCCTGGAATCGAGGCATGGGTTTTTCAGCCGAAAGAAACTAAAGTTTCTTGGCTCTAAAGTTGAAGCGTCGAGGTTTGATGTTTGTACATGCATGTTATACATTCCGTCACACTGGTATATAAAAAGGGGAACTACACGAGGAATCTAGCAGCGGATGGGTGAAATGTTCGTTCAGTCCAGCAGAGGAGGAGCAGGCTTTGAATTACAGGCCACCCCCTATCCATCTCCCAGCCCCCCTACACAGATGCTACATTCAACGGAGGAAAAACGGAAAAGACGAAACCGACAAGAAGGTTTATCATTTCAAAACTCCGGAGCTGTGGAAAGAACAGAGAGTTCCATTTTAACCCCACACTCACCCGCTTTTGTCCCACCAGAAGCCCGGCCCTCCAGGCCTTTTATTTTCACACTTTGCCCATCTTTTCTCCAGCTGTTTGCAGCTGGCAAAAAAGCACCCGCCCTGTTCGGGAAAAAGTGGACCGAGAGTGACCGGAGGAGGAGAGAGAACGATGCCACCCCAACCTCCCCAGCCGCAGGTGAGGGGGAACATCCTGAAGTTCCTCAGGAGTTTTATGGGAATTACGCGGATCCTGCAGATCGTGTTCGGAGCCTGCCTGTGGGTAACCATCGCCGCCAACAAATACGGGGGGTCTATCCACTTCGTGCTGTTCGTCGCTGTCTTCTTTTGGCTCCTCACCCTGGCCCTTTTCTTCCTCACCCTGCTGGACAAGCAGGACCTCGTGCCTTTGCTGGGAGGGGATCGCTGGTCGTGCACCAACCTGGCGCACGACGTGGTCGCCGCGGTGCTCTACCTGCCGGCCATAGGCGTCATGATCTACAATACCGATCGAAACTCATTCTGCAACTTGCCTCAATACATGCATCCATGTCTGTACAAAGTCTACCTGACAGCCGCTGTGTTCGCCTGCTTCTGCTGGCTGGCTTACCTCCTGTCCGTTATTTGTGGAGCGTGCAGAAAGTGTCAAAGAGGGTGAACTGTTGAGCAGCGCGGAAGCTTAAGGGTGGTCATGGCAAGATGAGGAATAGTTAACGTCACTGTAATTTCACTCAGCGGTTACTCTAATCTCTGTTTTCTCCTCTCTCTTAACAATCCACGGTGGTGGTGAAACAGGATCGGCCACCGTTTTCTCGGTGTGTGTTTAATGGTTACTAACATGAAAGAGACCTGTTGGTATGGTGGCTAAGTGCCGTGTGTTGTCTCCTTGTTAAGCTCAACAATAGCCTATGTAGTTATGAAGACTCTTATAATATTAATGTATGGACTTGTTATTGTGGCCTAGCAGTATATTTAGTGGTAACAGTGAAATGGCCTTAACATAGCCTACATTTTGCAGATTACTATTGATGCTGGTTAACAGTCCACCTTAAACTTTTTTTAAATAGAATTGCTACAGTTGTTTTAACAGGGGTTTATTTTCATTACCTTTTTAAATATATTTTTATGTTTACTTATTTTTTACTAAAAGGTTGGACTGAAAAATCTGTTTGTTTGTTTGTTTGTTTTTTTAAATCAGTGCCTTCTGTCCTAATGCTGTATACTCAACAACAAGGTGATAACAACAACTCCACAACACAGATGTGACTGGTGCTACAGTGTGTATGCTGAACAAAAACCTTTATCAACAGTTCATTGTGTAAAAATCCAAAGAGCAAAAAATAGGCTTTTATAATAAAGACTAGTCAGTCAGTCAGTGAGCTCTTTCTTTCATTGTGATCGTGTATCAGTGCTTTCAGATAAGCTGCTTCAGGACATTGTTTTAATTAAATCTGGAGACAAAACCGGGCGAGGAGCACACACAGCACCGAGCCTTTTGTGGTCTTTTCTTTTTTTTTTCTTTTTTAAATGAAACACATAATTAGAGCTGAACAGCAATGGAACTTCCTTTCAGGAGATTAAAGCGTCGGCCAATCAGCAGGGATCATTTACATGCCACGCCACAAAACCACATGAAAGACATCAAACCTTAGACCTATGTGCTTCTTGAAGTAAAATGACTCATTCGAAGGGGCGCAAACAAAATGCATGCGCTGTAGGATATAGCTGTCTGGGAGTTATCCTACTTTGCAAAAGATGTCTGAGTGCGTGTGTTTAGTCTCGCGTGAACAATAATCTGGGAAGAGGCTTGTTCTTACCGGAACAGTCTGTTGGGGTTCTGGAGGTGGGCTAACATTCAGCCAATGAAAATAAAGCCCAATGAGTTAGAAGATGATTTGATGTCTCATATATTCCAGTCAGCATACAGTTCCTAAAAACATGCTGCAGACAAGTTGCTTGAACAGCACCTAAAACTACATTCTGACAACTTTTTGACCACCTTTATTCAAAAGAGGCTGATTTGTACTGATATGCTGCATCCTCATTGCTGATATGTAGTTAAAAAAACACAAACACACTTTTTTGGACTTTACTTTTTTTTTGCCTTGCATACTGGCAACAAACCATGATGAGTTTTTCTTGGAGAGGAGCGCAAGGATGAAATGTTGTATTATTACCGCTCCAAATTTTAGCATCAAGTGCCAGAATAAAGGCAACAGCCATGCAGTTAATGGATTATAGATCAGCAGTACAATTGAATTATTATCTGAAAAAGAGCTGGGAAAAAATGCTTTTGATTCTGGGAAACATCTGTGGCCAGAATTTTAGGAGTGAAAGGGTTAACATTAACCAGCTGGAGCATCAGGATATAAATCTAGTGCTTCTAAAGGAGGGAAGGAGCCCCCCCTTCCACACACGCACACACACACACACACACACACACACACAGACACATGCACCCCTCCCTTCCCCCTCTGAGATCAGGATTGTCGTCCTGTCCACGTGTCGGTGCCTGTGGGAAAGCACTGTTGTATACAACCAAATGGAGACGGCACACAACAGCCATGGTTTCGGTTTGATACTGAAAGTACCCACGGAGAGTCAGTTCAAGTTTTGGATGACTCACGGTGACGGTGGACGCTCACAGTTAAGGCCAGAAAAGGAGTCTCCACATTTAAACCTTTAAATTTGACCACATTTACAGGCCCCTCGTTATTCACTGACCGCAGTTTAAAGATCTTGTGTTTTGTGAATTAGTTCATTGTGAGTTTATTTCATAAACATTACATCGATTGTCCAAACAATGAACCCATTTAATCACAGGCAACGAGACTGGAAACTTACTGGTGTTGGTGCAACAAGGGCGAGGTTGTTGTTTTGGGGTTTTTTTGTTTGCTACAAGGGGCGAAAGGAAAACCCAGACACATAGTACATATAGAGTCAGACCATACCCTGGAGTGCCAACTGTGTGATATTTTTTCTGGCAAGTCGACCAAAGAGACGTTTCCTGTATGCCTGCGTGCGCTCTCCCACCCTTTTGCAAGCAACCAAGTTATAAAGAGTTCCTCTGCCTCTCCTTGGAAGCACAGCACCCTGTTACAAACTGCAGCCGTGGACTGATGTTACAGAAAAACTTTATTGATCTAACAATGAGGCCAAAAATGGATAACAATGACATGACTATGTCTTATGGTTGTAATTAAATCACTGGTAACATGACCAAATCCAAGACTGTCTTGTTTTTTTTTTTTGTTTAAAAACAAAACTTTATACTGCCAGACGTACAGTCTTTAACAGGTTAGATGAACAGGAGGCTCAGTCTGGCTAAATTTAAAAGGAACAGCACAGCATTTGGAACTGTATCACCTCTCTTTGATTTTCATTTGGAGACATTTTCTTATTTTGAAAATTCCACACGTGCAGTGGAAGCAGTTTTGTTGCTTCCTGTCCACAAAAGCGGTGAGTAGAGCTGTTTCCCCTAATATGGGAGGAAACATATAATCATATGATGAGTGATTTTAAAAAATTGATTGAAATTCTGTCCCTGATGCCTTACATTGACATCTGGTCAGGATGATTATGGACAAGAGGAACCGAGAACATAAGAAGTGATCGAAATACCTTCTGTTTAATTTTAAGACAGACTTGAAATAAACATGCATCCATCTTTTGAACATTTTGGGATTTATACATGCTCAGCATTATTCAAATGGAAATGTTCACATTTAAGAAACATTCACTTTAAAACCACATCCTTCTCTTTTTACTGAGCCTAGTCCTGATCTTCATCCCAGTAGATGATTTGGCAAAGCATTCTCACCAACCAGACCTGGTGGCCTATGACGCTGTATTTTTCAGCAGTAAGAGCCAACTCCAAGACTGGAAGAGGTCCTCCATGTTCCTAGCGACCCAAATTCTTGGTGGGTAACTCCCACTGGAAGTGTTCTGTCCTACCCGTGTGTCCTATCAGTTTGTTTGGCTCTTTATTTCCTGTTGGCAGACATCCTGTCTCACTTGGGGAGGTTACGTGTACTCAGATGAAACATGAAAACACTGACAAAAGCACACAGCCGTGCCCTGTTAAGCACATTTTAATCGGCAAGTGCTGAGACGTACATTCCACCACTGCAGAGAGGGAAAGAGGGGCTGACAAACCAAATGGAGGCCAACTGAACAAGTGAATGAGCAAGGGGGGGAAGTAAAATGTGAAAGGGGAAGATGTACAAAAACGCCTTTGAGGTCCCAGCAAGAATCTGAGATTGACATTTCCTGTCTGTGTAAGGCATGAATCAGCACAGTGTTCTGGGCATGGAAGGTTTGTTTGCCAGTGATGTTTCAGTTTCTGGTTTCCCATGGTAACTGGGATTTCTTATTCTTATATCTGTTACAGCAGTTTTTGCCCAGACAATTTCTGAATGTTTGCAGTGTTCATGTGTTGTGCGAAGGGAATGCCAGCGAGTGGTGGGAAAGGATAATTGCTATTTATAGCCTTGAAAATACCACAGCTTCCCTCCTCAGTCTGCCAGTCCTTAGTCAAGATGTTGAGTGTGTTACAGAGTGAATGTGTCAGGAAAAAGGGGAGGGTGTGGTGAAGTTTTTTGCGTCACTGGGTGGATAAAATGGCAAATTTTCTGTCTGACATTTAATGATTCTTATTTCCAACTTACATTATTCACCCTTCATTCATTCGTCATTAAAACTTAATGTCAAAGATGATTATTTTTCCTTTGCCCCAAAACTCTTCATGCGCTGTGTACACAGACGCACTCTGGGATGTAAAACAAACATTCCTTCCAAGCGTGGATCATGGAGTCCTTGTTAATAGCTCACATGGCTCTGAACTGTTTCCCAGCTCAAGTGTACCCAAGCACAGTCTTCACACAAAGAGATCCAAACACTTTTTGTTACATCACACTGCTGTTGTAAGGAAAAACAGCAAATAGCTCTTTCAACCCATATCTCCTCAATGTGTTTAAAACAAATGTGCCTGAGGACATGACACAAGAAAAAAAGAAATATTTGTTTTAATTTTAAACTTTGGATTTTGACTTGTTTCTAATAGATTCAACTGCACCACAAATCTCTACATGTCTAAAATCTATGTGTAACGCACAACTTTTCACACACTGTTACAAATTCTTGCTATGATCCAGGCATCCTCGGCGACTGCAAGCAAGGACTAATTTTACCCACAAGGAGGCACAATTGGGACAAAGCATTTAAATGAGTGTTTCTCTTAGCTGCCCCATCCACAGCCACTGAGAATCATGAGAGGGCTGCAGTGGGACAGTGTCTGCAGTGTCTTAAGTGGGTCTGAGGTCTGACACATCAAAAGTGAGTTGAATTTTCATGCAAACTTGAATATACACTCTCTGGCCATTTTATTAGTTTCCCCTGTTAAACTATTTGTTGAACAAATTTCTAGTCAGACAGGTCAGTGGCAGTAACTCCATGCATTATGCAAGTAGACATAGTCAAGACTTCCTGCTGAAGTATTTTAGAAATTGCAGATCTACTGGGATTTTTTTGCAGAGCCATCTCTAGCAGTTACAAAGAGTGAGCAGCAGTTCTCTTGATGAACTCGGGGTTCACCTTGTTCATGTCAGAGGTGATGCCAAGGCTGCTTTGAGAAGATATAAGGGCAACAGTAGCTCAAATCTAGTTCCAACTCAACTTAAATTCTCACAGGCTCATCAAATTTGGGCAATAGAAGACAGAAAAAAAAACTTTCCCTGCTCTTTCTGTAGATTTCAGATGTTGGGGTCTGAATTTGGTGTATCAGGATTCATCTCTCAGGATTCGATGCATCCTGCCTTACGTCAACAATTCAGGCTGATGGTGGTGGTGTAATGGTGGAATATATGTATTTCCTTGGCACACATTGGGCCTCCTTATTACCAACTGAGCATTCTTCAAACGCCACAACCTGCCTGAATTTTGTTGCTGTCACATTATAACCACTGTGTACCCATCATCTGATGGCTGCTTCACAAATGTGACTCACAGCTCATATCCTCTCAAACCGGTTTCTTTAACATTACAGTGAGTTCACTTTACTCAAAGCACCTGACAAATCTGCAGTAACTGTGTGATGCTATCGTGTAATCTTTGACCAGAATCTCTGAGGAATGTTTCTTGCAACTTACTGAATCTAATTCTGATGGCAAAGGGGGTCCAGCCCTGCAGTAGCAAGGTGTAATTAGTGAAGTGGCGAGTCAGTGTATTACTCTCATTTGTCCTTTTCAAGACTATTAAGAGACATTAAGAGAAATATTACAGATATGTACTATTTCTTGTTCATCAGTTGACCTACTTATTCTTCTACAAAAGATCAGTTTTCTTGAGTTCTCTTTACACTGAAGGTTTTTGAT